CAGCCCTATCAAGAGCTGTCCGCCCATCGGCATCTTTGATAGAATAACTAGCACCAGCTCTTAAAAGTTCTTCAATCTTTGGCTTGTCACCTTCAGAGGCAGCCATCAACAACAAAATGTCTACTGGGTGGATGTTTTGGCTTAAAAGAGCATTCATCTTATCATATGTACCTTCAACAGCGAGCATACCCATGTAGTTGAAATACTGCAATGAAGAAAGGCATAAGTCGTTAAATGTGGTCATGCTTGAGATGTTTGACCTCATGCAACAAATTCATGTTTCTGGTTGCAGCAAAACGAACGCTTTGTCACCTGCTCTCACCTTGACCCTGTTCTAGATTTAATTGCAAAAACTGAGAGTACAGTTCACAACCAGAATAGTGCAATGACACTGTTTAAGAAATAAAAAAGGTTCCCTTGTGAACACACAATTAAAGACATATGAACTGCAACATGACCATGAAAATGCCTTGTCCTGCAAATTCTCCTCCTACAAAACAGTGCAATGGATGCAGACGCACGGGGCAAAGCTGTATATAACTTGGTGCTAAATCTAAAAAATACTTCTATATGCAGGCCAATTCCACCATGTTACTGGTGTGATGTATAGGGGCCTCAAGCCTGAGAATTCTGAAAAGGATCATGTTTATGCATCCAATAGATGTTAGCACCAAATTCAAAGATTCCCTCTAATTCTATTTTGACGATTAGTACGACACAAGAGCAAGGTTTTCCTTTCTATTAATTTATATGTCAGCAAAAAAGGGTTTTGCTGTCTTAAGAACCGGTTTCTCGATGCACTTATGCAAATTCCTTTTTGGCGGACAACCAGAACTCAGAAAACTATGAAGAAAAAGAATTGCATTTTCACATTCCAATATGAAATTGCACAGCACACACACACCTAGTTAATTTATCTTCACTACAAATTTTCAATTATATATACATGAGCATCTGCCTGTGGACACAAATATTAGAGGCCAACAATCATCCTTCCCTCTTGAATATTTGAACTACACGGACCAAAGAATTCGATGCTTCACCTAACTGTGCCTTTATAACACCCGGAAAAGTACCATTGCTACTGCAATAAGTTTGCCAAGAACTTCGTTTCTTATATGTTAAATGAAGCTCTTAAGAAAAAAAAACATTCATTAAGACTACGCCCTTTTGATGAATAAATTTCTTAATCTCTTTTCTTCCTCTGAACTTCATTATTCTAGCTCTTTGCCCAAAAAGAAAAAAATATTCTAGCTCTCCCCTCTTTCTGTACCCCTTCTTATTTATTTATTGCAAGCAAATGTCTCCAAGAATCTAGAAAAATAATTAAAACTTATTTCCAACTTAATTTCGATAAGAACACATAATTATAATTACCCTTAATTTATGCATTTAAATAACTTTATAAGTTCTAAAATGTTTAATGAGTTCTCAATTTCCTCAACATCTTTTATTACTTGAGGATAAAGTCATTAATTTAATAATTGATGTAAAATTCACCTCATTATATTTTATAATTAGCTGGAAACAAATATTTTGTTTGAACAATCCTTGTTCTTAATATTTTATACATTAATAGAAAAATGCTTCCCAAACATAGAACAATTTGTGATCACCAAAAGTCATTCACCCACATATATACACAGATACAATAACATGTAGAGAGAGAGAGAGGGAGAGAGAAAAGAACCTGTTCAACATCATCTTTATCAAAATCATCACGGGATTGGCTTCCATAAATACCAGCACCTTCAGCATCTACACCGTTTTTCCCGAATTTAAACCAGCACTTGGCTCTGGACCCGTTGGAGGGTCCAAGCCCGAGGGGCCTGACCCACCCGAGCCTATTTCGGGTACCCACGAACCGGGTGTTGAATTTCGTTGAAGAAGGAAAGGACTTGGAGGTGATGGCAGCAGCAGCAGCAGCAGCAGCACCAGTACATGGAATTGAAGCCATTGCTGAGTTTTCAGTTTACTGTCTGTGAACTTCTCAGCTCGATCACTCCTCCTATCCACTCATGTCTAAGTGCACTGGAAATAATAGACTGTGCGTCATCTTTTCACGCTATCCCTACAGAAGCGATCTCAGTCGTTGATCTAAAATCAGTCGATGGTGAGTTCGTTGACTTTTATGTGGGTACTCATTGTTTGAAGGCCCTAAATTACAAATCCATTGGATTAATGCTGAGGCCCAATAGTTAAAATTTTGTCAATTTTATTCTCGATTTATACTAAGGCTCTTTAGATCAAATTTTGTCAATTTTATTTTAACCAACTGTAAATCCCCCGAATCAACTTATATTTGGCGAATTTAACCAATTCAAATGATTTTGTTTGGTTTTCACACTTGAAAAGTGTTACCTAAGCTCTTTAGATCAAATTTTGTCAATTTTATTTTACCTAACCATAAATTGCCCGAACCAACTCAAATTTGGCGAATTTAACCAATTCAAATGATTTTGTTTGGTTTTTACACTTGAAAAGTGTTACCTAGGAGTGAATCGAATGAAATGACAATTAGTTTGGTTTGATTTAGTTTGATCTAATTAGAAACCACCTAAACCAAACTAAATTGCATATATTATTTTTTTCACTTTTCATTTTTCTTTATTAGTATGTTTCATTTCACACACTAACATCAACCATAAATAAAATAAAATAAAATGTCGAAAACGCTTCAAATTTCACATCATCTCTCTCAAATTTCTTAATCTACAACCGGAAGAAGTTTTCTCAACTATAGTTCAATTGACAGTATGCAATTCCCCTTGATGTATGTAAGAGATTATAAAATATTTATTCAATTATGTAGAAAAGGAAAATAACTGAAACAACTCGATGAATAAATCTACGGTTGCAATTATGCTACAAGTTTTAAGCCAAATTCGAACTGTCAAATTACTATTAGAGCTCGTTTGGGAGTAATTATGGAGATGTCAATAATCACTTTAAAATCACTAAAAGTGATTTTTTGGAGAAATCCGTGGGATTTGCTTCTTCCCATAAGCCATAATCACTCCCAAACAAGTATTTAGTTTAGTTGCAGTTGATATTTGTGACCCGTTCTAACCCATTTTGCTCAACCAGTGTAGGAAAGTTTTTCTCCTCATACTGACCCATTTTGCTCTGCTCTTGACAGACAGGTTCTTAATTGTTCTGCATGGAAAAAGAAAAAGAAAAAGAAAAAGGCTCAACTCTATTGCTTTCCAACTTCTTATTTTATGAAATATCATCTTATGGCTATGCAAAGCTTCAATTGACCCACCTGCACCCTTAATTATATGGTTCTTCATGTCATACCAAATTCTGCTAGTAATTTATTTCTACTTATTCTTGCTGATGAAGAGATGTAACAAGAACTGAGAAAATGAATGCCCTTCTCCTCAAGTCAGGGGAAAGAGAAAGAAATTCACATGGTGTGTATCAAAAAATTCTATCATATATATATCTTTCCCATGACCCCTTCAAAGGTGATGATGTAAACAGAAAAATGAGATAGGACCAGCAAAAGCAAATCGACCCCCAAACTTCAAAAGCTCTCAAGTGCCATTCAAGACAAGAAAAGAACTTAACAACTTACTTGAAAAAAGCAAATAAAATCCAACATCGTCACTTTTACTGATTGATTTGCAATACAACATAATACATCAAACTAAAATTGTTCCGCAACATCCGACGGTCATAATGAATCCAATACATAATCCAAGTATGGAAAACTACATTAAATCAGTAAATGAGACCCAAATGGTCAAATTTAAAAATAAAATAAAATGGAGAGAAAGAAGTTGTAGTAGCTTAAGGGATTCTACCTTTTTATCTGTAAGCACATGAATGAGGTGAGTATATAACCAGCCAACCCCACAAATTCTGTTCACTTTAGATAAAGAACACAAGGCAAAGAATCGTTGTGAAATAGCAAGGCCAAACACCAGATGTCCCAAAAGAAAAGCAATTACCTCACCAAGACTCAACTCAAAACCATCTCTCTTCATCCACAAGCCACCCCCTCCACTCCAATGTATAAATCCAGCACCATTGCCAGCAGAGATGCTGCAAAAATGGCTGCATATGCTCCTGTGGAAATAGGCACCAGAGGCACTGTTGGATCCCTCATAATGAAAGAAATTGAGCACTTCAGCCGCCTTGAATTAAGCAGCAGATGTAGCTCACACAAGCCTCGGCCACAATTTAAAGACATGGTTTCCTCTGGCAGTCATTTGAGACCCGCTTGTGAATCAGTGGTAAAAACACAAAATAAGAAAAAGCGACGCACTAGGATCCTACCAAGCATATGTTCTATGGTGGAAGTTTCAGACAGCAATCGACCAATTGGGATTTCTGTATACAGTTACAGGAATCTAAGATCTGATGTGAAGAAATTACCAGGTTAGACAATGCTCTCAGAGAGCTTTGAGAAGCCCAGCTTCTTCAGTCGATTCGTTATAGGGCCAGCCCATGCTCTATCTGAGTTCCCACATTTTAAGTCCACAACTTCAACAATGTTAGGTCCTTTTTTACTAGTTTTCTGCCTACTAGGAGTTCTATCCAGACCAACATTATCAGAGCTCAGTATCGGGATCTGACTAGTCTTTTTGGCATGAGTTTTTGTTTTCTGTGAAATTTCAGGGCGTCTCTGATTAATGTAGTTGCTGGTTCCACTGCTGCTAGCTTCATCACATGATTTTTTTGGTTGTAGCTTTTTCGGAGTAGTAGCACCACAGGGAACAGAAACAGAAGCTGTTTGATGTTTACTTCTGGAAGATGCAGGCATCGGAGGTGCAACTTTGATGGACTCTAATTCTCTTGTCATTAGGGAACTGACCGTCCCAGTGGTCCCAACCCTGATGGATCCTCCACCACCCTTTATAGCTTCTAGTGTCTGAACCATGTTTCTTCTAGTCTCCATCAAAGGTATGAGCAGACACCTTGTAACAGCATGGTTTCCTCGGGCAGTCATTTGAGACCCGCTTGTGAATCAGTGGTAAAAACACAAAATAAGAAAAAGCGACGCACTAGGATCCTACCAAGCATATGTTCTATGGTGGAAGTTTCAGACAGCAATCGACCAATTGGGATTTCTGTATACAGTTACAGGAATCTAAGATCTGATGTGAAGAAATTACCAGGTTAGACAATGCTCTCAGAGAGCTTTGAGAAGCCCAGCTTCTTCAGTCGATTCGTTATAGGGCCAGCCCATGCTCTATCTGAGTTCCCACATTTTAAGTCCACAACTTCAACAATGTTAGGTCCTTTTTTACTAGTTTTCTGCCTACTAGGAGTTCTATCCAGACCAACATTATCAGAGCTCAGTATCGGGATCTGACTAGTCTTTTTGGCATGAGTTTTTGTTTTCTGTGAAATTTCAGGGCGTCTCTGATTAATGTAGTTGCTGGTTCCACTGCTGCTAGCTTCATCACATGATTTTTTTGGTTGTAGCTTTTTCGGAGTAGTAGCACCACAGGGAACAGAAACAGAAGCTGTTTGATGTTTACTTCTGGAAGATGCAGGCATCGGAGGTGCAACTTTGATGGACTCTAATTCTCTTGTCATTAGGGAACTGACCGTCCCAGTGGTCCCAACCCTGATGGATCCTCCACCACCCTTTATAGCTTCTAGTGTCTGAACCATGTTTCTTCTAGTCTCCATCAAAGGTATGAGCAGACACCTTGTAACAGGAATTTTCTCCAGTAGAGAGATGTTACAACCAACTCCGTTCAAGAGCCTTTCCTGCAACAGCATCAGCCAATGCTTTTAGATACAATTGGTGTATATGAACAGCGATGTAGCTTAAATTTCAGACTGTAAGTAGTGTTTCTCAACAAATTTATGGTCAGTCTTAGAAGTATAAACTTATAGATATTTTAAAACCTCATTCAACTGCAAAGTTCCTGGTACATAAACCACCCTCAAATAGATAGAGATGATCACGTACTGAAAAAGAAAAGGCAGACTAAAAGAAAAGGCAATTAGGAAAGTATTATGGCTATGGGTAACATCAGTGGATAAGGCAAGGGTTTGGAGAAGTGTAAGTAAAGTATAAACTGTAAAGTGAAATCACTATTTATGCTTTTTCCAAAAGGAAAACTGCATTCTAGACGTTAGCTAATCTCATACAGCAAGAAATGAAACAAGTTTAAGTCATTTTAGTATCAGCTGTTAAAGAGGGAGATTCAGAAAAACCTCTTCCAACCTCCTAATCTCAAACCACAGAAATTAGCAAAACATGAGGTCTAATGTCTCTCAGAAAAGACCTCTGAAATTATAATTCCATAAACCCATAAAACCAAACCTTCAGATTATGCAGTCAATCTCCCCTCCCTATTTTTCATCTACTGTTCAAATTGCACCAGAACATACTTCCAAGTTCAATCAGAGAGGAAAAGCAAAAGCTTCCAAGAAAAAAGACAACCATGGTGCATCTAAACTGAAGAATTCACACTCAGGAAAAATGAAAACTAATTACTTTGTCTAGTCCTTACTATGAATGGCCCAGAAATAAAGATCACTTCAGTCCTTAACAAGCATCAACAAAATGAAGATCTATCAAACCCCAATAATTCATTAAATGCACAAATTAAGGCATGAACAGTCAAACCCTACAAGCTACCAGAAATGCACTGAGTGATGATCCCCACTATCCATAACTGGACAACTGATAGTGATGACCAAACATTAAGATCCACAATCAAGTAACAAAGAAACACTGATCAGATGTTAAGAAATTAAGAATACTGAGATAAAAATACCTACCCACAACCGAGGGAGTGAAGCTAAGCTGACAGAAAATCCGAACCCAACAAAGAAAGAATCAATTGAGATTATTAATTAGACCCATGTGAAAGAAACTGCTGAAAGTAAGAAATCTCAGAGCTTCTTGGAGTTATATTCAACACAAGGATCATAATGCTACCTTTAAGAAACATATCGAATCTCACTTCAAGGCACTTGTCTGTTTTTATTTTAAGCGAGTCAGAGTCAGACAGTCAACGGAAATCCCAACCAGTAAATTTGATACAAATGATTGGTATGGATAGGGTTCTTCTTTGAATTACCACATTTTACCTCCGGGGTTTTGTGTCGGGGTGCATTAAGAATGGACCACGGCGTTTTAATTTCCTTTATGGAAAATAGTTCTCTCATTATCAGATAAGTAGGATCTTCTATATTTTGTGTCGGGGTGCATGCAAAAGTTTTTCTTTTGTATTTTTGATAAATTATTTTTGCATATGTATCAAACTATGATTTACATAAAGAAGGAATATATCCTTACAAGTAAGGAGACAAGTAGTATCCTTTTCTTATAGAGTAGAGACAAGTAGTATCCTTTTGTTATAGAGCAAGGTTTGGCTACTTAAAATTAAGGAGAGCTACTCCCCACAACCAATGGGGTTTTGACACTTGTTAAATTTAGGGATGGCAATGGGTTGAATCAGGGGTGGGTATGTCATTTCCATCCTCATCCTTGTTAAGCATTTTTCCCCATCCCTGCCTTCATACCGGTAATATTCAAATCGGGGATTCCCTATCTCCGCCTTTATTGGAGAATGAGTTCCTCGACCCGCCCCATTACGATAAAAAACCAATATGAGCATAAGATATGTATCAATTCAATTGTTATTAACTAAAAAGCTAGACTATTTAAAAAATATATATTAATACATGTTAAAATTACATGTCCAAGACATGATCATCACTGTAGAGATAGCACCACCATCACACATTTGAGTTGGGGATTAGAATACTATTCCCGCCCCTCCCCGAATACCATACCCGAAAAATTCCCCAAACCCGTAGGCATACCCATTTTTTATCCTTCATACCCGACCCATTAGGGTCGAAGCCCTGCAAAGACCCTTATCTGTGGGGAAAATTGCCATCCCTAGTTAAATTCAAGCAAGCAACATTGACAAAGTTTCAACAAAAAAGAAAAAGAAAATTTAAAAAATTTAATATGTGTCAAAACCACATTGGTTGTAAGGAGGAGTTCCTCCTTAATTTTAAGGAGCCAACCTTTTTCCTTTCTGATATTACACTTCACGTTGTATTTGGATTAGGGAAATAAACTTGGAATTTTGACAAAAGTCAGAATTTCTAAATTTTGGTTTTTGTCAACAAAATTTCTAAATTGACATAAATCAATTCCTGTGTTTGAATTTAAAATAAATAAATAAATCTAGAAATTCCACGTGGAAAAAGAACATGGAATTTGGAGGTCATCAATCCCAATTTTAAATTCTATCTAAATAGTTGTCATTTATAAAAGAGATTTTCTATTTAAACCCCACACTTCTCTTTGTTCACCCCAATACTTAAATCATTAAGCTGTAAGTTTTACTATTGTGTAAAAAGATAAAAAAGGTCATCCAACTTAATAATTAACCCTAGTACATCTATACACACACCACACCACTCTTCATATTAAGTTTTAGAAAAATACAAACTCCTCTACGTCCTATTTAAATTGAATCAGGACAGAGGTAAAGTATAAATTGGATTAGATCAGGAAAAGCTCCTCTACTTGGAGAGAGGTAAAGTTGTTCTCTTTCTCTAGAAAGTATTAAATTTCGGGTTTGGCGTTCCATTTGTTTGTGTTTTTTTCTGCTGGGAACAAAGAAAATTGTGGGGTTTAAATAGAAAATCTCTTTTATTTCTTATTTTTTTAGTTTGGGGTGTATTTAAGGGTAGTTTGGGAAGATAGTGGGGTTTTCTTAGAAATTGTGAAAATTTAAATTAAACAATGGGGTGAACTTAGAACATGGGGTGAACTAAGAGAAGTGTGGGGTTTAAATAGAAAATCTCTTCATAAAATTCTAAGATGATAAACGTTAAATTCTGTCTTTAAATCCGTTGGCCAAATAAGAAACTTTCTATAACATTAATTTCCATCATTTTAAATTCCATTATTTATGAATTCCTTAGTACTTTTAAATTTCCTCATCCAAACACATAGTGCTTTTAAATTTCCTCATCCAAAGATTTTGCCAGCATAAATTTAAATTATCCATTAATCTAAACATTTGATTTTTTGTGGTGCGTTTTGGATAAGGGGATTTGTGGGGTGGATTTGAATTTTTCGGGCCCAAATCTAAGTCACAATGTTTGGCTCTAACTTAACTGCATGGATTTGAATTTGACCCAATTCCATCCAAAATTGTAAAAGTTTAAACTAAGGAACCATCCAAAATTGTAAAAGTTTAAACTAAGGAATTTCAAGTACCATTATAAGCATGTTTAGTTTTTGGGAAAGGGTATTGGAATGATTCCAATTCCTGCTTTTCATGTGTAAACACATGGGTATTGGAATTATTTCAATTACTGACTTTCCGCTCGTTTATGTAAGGAATCAAAAATTATGTGGGTTCCACCTTAAAATATGTAATCGAATACCCTCAAAATCGAGAATGGGATCAACTATGGGGGAGTAGTTGATTTGATTCCAATACTGATAAGTGAATAGTTTCTTATATTTTTTTTATACCTTTTATATTTGATTTTTGTTGGGAAAGTTAATTAAAAAGAGCATTATTACTTTACTTTCCTTATTTTCAGCTATTTTGCGCTCTTGGAAGGGTTTCAACAGAAAATTGACTTTTCGAATGAATTTTAGCGCAAGGCCAATTGGAGAAGAAAGCTAAGACATTGAAGATCATGGGGTTCATAATTTTCTATCAAGCCAATTGCTCTTAACTTGCAAGTCAAGACAACCTAAATTGAAATCCCTTCAGAACTGCACTGCTATGGAAGATTGAAGAGTTGAAGAGTTTTCCGATTTTTCCTAGTGTCGTGCGATATATGCTTGGAAAGCTTAGAGATCAAACTACGTTTATAATATTGTTCCAGGATTTTATAGGAAGTGGAATGACCCTAAAACATGCGTGCAAGTTGGCTGACCTGTTTTCCAGTCAAAGAAGGATTCTTTCCTAGTTTGTTTTCTTAGTTGTTTAGGATTTTGTTTTGTTTTAGGAGAGTTTTTCCAGATATTTTAAGAGTAGGGTTCAGTTGTTTTACACTATATAAGGCATGAAAGAAACATTAAATTCTAGTTATATTTGGTCACAAAGATAAGGTTACAAGTGACCTTTAGGCCACTGAAGCTTTAAATTTAATCTTTGAGCTTTAACATAACTAACCCCAAGTATCTTGAGGCTTGGTTTAGATTGTTCCACTCCTAGACATTCTAGACTAAGAGAAAGAGTATAAATTTTACCCTTGAAGCACTACTCAAGGTTGACATCCTTTGAGTTGATCACCTTATGGAAGGCCTTCTAGATTCACCAAATCACAAATAGAGGTAATCTCTAACTTTACCACACAAAGGAAGATGGAGGATATGATGCAACCTAGGAAGGAAGGATGCTAGTGTTCACTTCCTAGGGTGGCCGGTTTTGGCTAGGTGAGAGGAGCTTGATGGTGTTCTAACTCCTTTCTTGAAACTAGCTCAAATACCCTAACTTTTCTCAAGAGACAAAATTCACTTAAATAGACACACAAAAAGGAGATATTGGTCATATTGGTAACAAAAACCCGTCTTGGTCATATTGGTAACAAGAAAACAACCTATTATCTAGGGAAGCCTCTAGAACGGATGTGGGAAAAATGACCTATTCGGATAAAGACTGGCCCTATTAAACGAAAACACCAAGAAATGTAAGTCAAAATAATTCAACATTAGTTTGTATCTTTTGTACAACACCAATTCATACATTTCCTCTTTCTTTTTTTCTTTTTCTTTTTCAGTATTTTGCAGAGAAACATGAGCGATGAGACTTTGAGATGGGACATACTCATCGTCTTATGAGATAGAGTGTTCGAAGAGGTGTGATACATTTTGATACGGTTCTGGACTCCACTTTATGTGCCTAACTGTTCATTGGGAGAAACATGAGGGTAGGATGGGTTCCTAAGGATATTGAAGCATACAAATGTCCTGGGCATTGATCATATCCCGGGCATTAATCATGTCCATCTTTTGAGGCTTAATAGATGATCTAACCCTAATAATTCAAATCCCTAAATAGCCTTAAATAGTACATCAATCAAATCCATAATAGCCAGTTAATGATGACCGATGAGTAGGTCAAAATACGGATACACCAAGAAATGTAAGTCAAAATACTTTAACACTACTTTGTATCTTATGCACATCAATTCATACATTTCCTCATATTTTGCCGAGAAACATAAGCGATGAGACTCTCATATTGGACATATGCATCTTCTTATGAGATAGAATGTTCAGAGAGGTGCGACACATGTTGATAAAGTTCTTGATTCCACTTCATGTACCTCACTAGTTTTTACATACGACCACAAAGAATTTTGGAGAGTCCAAAATTCATAGGGAGAAACTTGGGGAGAGAATGGGTTCTTAAGGATACTAAAGCATGCATGGCATTGTTGATGTCCATCTTTTGAGGTTCAATAGATTATCTAACCTTTATAATTGAAATCCCTAAATACCCTTTAAATAGTACATCAATCAAATCCATAATAGCCAATTAGTGATAAGTAGGTACAACATGAGAGGTCTCATCTGATCAATCTAATGATTAGATTTACAGTATTTGTGAATGTAGATTAAGCAATTATTCATTATCTATGCGCTTTTTGATTTGATTCAATCTAATAATTAGATGTAGACAATTCGTAAATTTGTATATTGTAGATTAAGCAATTATTCATTATCTCAGTACTTTCTAATTTATCAATCTATTGAAAAGATCTAACGACTACTTAAGGCTTTATTTTCTGTATTAAATTATAACCCAATTTGAATTACGAATGTTCAAAACTTAGAGCTCTCATTGGGAGCACGTGATATTTTGAACTTTAGGCTCATAATGGGTCCTATCAATGACCAGGATGATACAGGTTAGCATATTACTTACCCATTTTCTTCTTTTCTTATTAACCTAAATACATATCATTATTTTAACTATATTTCATCGAAACAGATACTATATTGGTGTTGAGCCTTCTTAGCCACAACATGTGTTGAGGACTTGTATAGCTCTCACACATGAACTTAGATTATCTTATTATCTCAAAGCATGATAACCTGTCTTGGTTGTATTGGTAATAAGAACACAACCTATTATCCATAGAACCTTGTAGAACTGTTGTGGAAAAAAGGGCTTATTTGGAGAAAGATTGGCCTTATTATACGGAAACACCAAGAAATGTAAGTCAAAATACTTCAACACTACTTTCTATCTTATGCACATCAATTCATACATTTCCTTTTTTCTTTTTTCTTTTTGTATTTTAAGGTGAAACATGAGCAATGAGACTCTCATATTGGACATACTCATTTTCTTATAAGATAGAATGTTCATAGAGGTTCGATACATGTTGATAAGGTTCTTGATTCCACTTCTTGTGCCTCATTAGTTATAAAAAACATACGACCACAAAAATTTTTGGAGAGTCCAAAATTCATAGGGAGAAACTTGGGGAGAGAACGGCTTCTTAAGGATACTAAAGCATGCATGGCATTGTTGATGTCCATCGTTTGAGGTTCAATAGATTATCTAACCCGCATAATTGAAATCCCTAAATAACCTTAAATAGTACGTTAATCAAATCCTTAATATCCAGTTAGCAATGAGTAGGTCTTATACAATAGGTCTCATATGATCAATCTAATGATTAGATTTACAATATTCGTGAATGTAGATTAAGAATTATTCATTATCTATGTGCTTTTTGATCTGATTCAATCTAATAATTAGATTTAGACTATTCATAAATTTGTATATTATAGATTGAGCAATTATTCATTATCTATATACTTTCTAATCTATTAATCTAATCTATTAATCTACTGATTAGACTAACGACTATTTAAGGCTTTATTTTCTGTTCTAAATCATAACCCAATTTGAATTACGGAGGTTCAAAACATGGAGCTCTCATTGGGTAGAACGAGATATTTTGAACTTTAGCCCCATAATGGGCCTCATCCGTGACCAGTGTGATACAGGTAAGCAAATTACTTATCCATTTTCTTCTTTTCTTCTTCTCCTAAATAAATATCATTATTTTTACTATATTTCTTTGAAACAAATACTATATTGGGGTTAAGCCTTCTCAACCACAACATGTGTTGAAGCCTTGTATAGTTCTCACACATGAACATATCCTATCACCTCAGAGCATGATAACCCATCTTGGTCGTATTGGTAATAAGAACACAACCTATTATACATGGAAGCATGTAGAACTGTTATGGAAAAAGGGCATATTTGGAGAAAGATTGGGCACATTATACGTAAACACCAAGAAATGTAAGTCAAAATACTTCAACACTACTTTCTATTTTATGCACGTCAATTCATACATTTTTTTCCTTTCTTTTCTTAGTATTTTTCGGTGAAACATGAGCGATGAGACTCTTATATTAGACATACTCATCTTCTTATGAGATAGAATGTTCGAAGAGGTGCGATACATGTTGATAAGGTTCTTGATTTCACTTCATGTGCCTCACTAGTTATGGAAAAACATACGACCACAAAGAATTTTGGTGAGTCCAAAATTCAAATGGAGAAACTTGGAGAGAGAATGGGTTCTTAAGGATACTGACGCATGCATGGCATTGTTGATGTCCATCTTTTGAGGTTCAATAGATTGTCTAACCCTCATAATTAAAATCCCTAAATAACCTTAAATAATACTTTAATCAAATCCATAATAGCCAGTTAGCGATGAGTAAGTCTCACACGAGATGTCTCATCTTATCAATTTAATGATTAGATTTAAAATATTCGAGAATGTAGATTAAGCAATTATTCATTATCTACGTGTTTTTTTTATCAGATTCAATCTGATAATTAGATTTAGACTATTCGTAAATTTGTATATTGTAGATTGAGCAAGTATTCATTATCTATATACTTTCTAATCTATCAATCTATTGATTAGATCTAACGACTATTTAATGCTTTATTTTATGTACTAAATCCTAATCCAATTTGAATTACATAGGTTCAAAACTTGGAGCTCTCATTGGGCAGCACGGGATATTTTGAACTTTAGGCCCATAATGGGTCCCGTCAGTGACTAGGGTGATACAGGTAAGCACATTACTTACCCATTTTCTTCTTTTTTTCTTATCATAAATACATATAATTATTTTAATTATATTTCATTGAAACAAATACTATATTGTTGTTGAGCCTTCTTAGCCACAACATGTGTTGTGGCCTTGTATAGTTCTCACATATGAACATAGATTATCTTATCACCTCAGAGCATGATACCCCGTCTTGGTCGTATTGGTAATAAGAACATAACCTGTTATCCATGGAAGCCTGTAGAACTATTGTGGAAAAAAGGGCCTATTTGGGGAAAGATTGGCATTATCATACGAAAACACCAAGAAATGTCAAAATACTTCAACACTACTTTGTATCTTGTGTGCATCAATTCATACATTTTTTACACTACTTTGTATCTTGTGCACATCAATTCATACATTTTTTTTTTCTTGTTTTAGTAATTTTCGGTGAAACATTAGTGATAAGACTCTCATATTGGACAAACTCATCTTCTTATGAGATATAATGTACAGAAAGGCGTGATACATGTTTATAAAGTTCTTGATTCCACTTCATGTGCCTCACTAGTTATGGAAAAACGTACGACCACAAAGAATTTTGAAGAGTCCAAAATTCATAGGAAGAAACTTGGGGAGAGAATGGGTTCTTAAGGATACTCAAGCATGCATGACATTGTTGATGTCCAACTTTTGAGGTTCAATAGATTACCTAACCCTCAAAATTCAAAACCCTAAATAGCCTTAAATAGTACGTCTCTCAAATCCATAATAGCTAGTTAGCAATGAGTAGGTCTCACACGAGAGGTCTCATCTGATCAATCTAATGATTAGATTTACAGTATACAGAGGTTCAAAACTTGGAGCTCTCATTAGGTAGTACCAGATATTTTGGAATTTAGTATTTGTAAGGAAATAAACTTCATCTCCTCGCGTTGGAGATCAAGGAACTATTTAATCATGTTACCGTTAGTGAAGTTTTTGGCAACCGAACTTCTTTTACCATGGTGCAATGAACTACACTTCATTTTTAAACTCTACCTCTATCACCTTTCTCAAAGAGGTATAGTTCTCAAGGAAGGGAAGCAATGATTCCAATTGTACCATTTTCAACGCCAAAAATGAGGTTGGAATTTGGTCCATAATTGAGTATAGCGAGTGCGTAAGGATTTGTAAGCTCATCCAAAATCCATATTCATCACATTTAGAAATGAACAACACCCATAAGGCATAATTCACGACATCTCTAATCCCTCGACAATTTTATCCATGTATTTGCAACTGCTAAAAATGAACCATAACATGATTAACACTCACTACTAAAAAAACACACACTAGCCACTGATATGAATTTGTCTCCTAAGTTGATTTTAGAGACAATAAATTGTCTCCATTAAGCAATAGAGACTATGCAGCGACTATTTTTGTTTCAGTATCCTAGTTTGGGGTTGCTATTGCTTATTAGGTACAATTTTGGGAGTCAGTCCTTCAATATTTTCAAATAAACAAATACATTATCAGCCAAGCCCAGCCATATTGAATTCTTCCAAGCCGTGGGGTCTTGGGAGAGGGTCTGATATTTGAGAGGCTATCTTCTAAATTAGGGACTAATGACATGTCAGTATCTCATTACTTTATTACATATGTTTAACTAATAATACAATTAAACCCATCAGTCCCCAATTCCATATATCCACAAAAAAAAAAACATATCCAAATATATGCACCCTTTCTCTGAATATTAATTCCTAATTTTCAAGATGGATTTTTGGGTTCGAATCACTCCTACAAAAACTGCAAGCCATATATGCAACAATTCCTCGTCCTCGAAGTCAACCATTTCTTAGAGGATCACCAACCATTTGAAGTCACAAACCTGAAGAAAATATATTCAGAAAATCCCCATATGAGCAGAGAATCATATACCGAAAACCCTAAACTTTCTTTTGACAAAAAATTAAAAAAAAACCCTAAACTTTATTAGAAATATATATTATATCCAACTGTAAATGAGCCTTACAGTATTTCCTTTGGATCATTAGGTGATCCTGGCGTTTTCTCCTTTAAGATCTAGGGTTGCTCCAATCGTGTGAAGGAGCTGAAAAAAATAATGAACAGGTTAATGTAACTAAACTAAAACCAAATTTTATACAAAATAATTATATAAAAAATTTCTTACAAAGATTTTGAAGCTCCTCTGTTCAATGTGCTTTCCAAGCTCTCCATTGCCTTTCCTCAAAAATTAAAAAAGACAAATACAAAAAGCATTCAGTAACAGCCATATATAAATAAATATCAGACCAAAGTCAAAATCAGATGCTGGAACCAAAATAAGTAAAGGCACACTGAAAAAGAATGATATTATGATTTTTCAATTACCAGTTCATCAGCGCCTTCTTCCATAACGAAACCATCACGGTATTTGTCCCAGATTTTCTCTCATCAACTTCCAGATAGGCATCTTACCAAGTCACACTGCTCCAACTCTTCAATTTCCAGATCGGGATCTCAAGCCGCAGCCTAGTATTTTGTGACCAGATGGCTTTGTGATTCACGCAAAAAGAATAAGAGAGAGAGACAGAGAGAGAGAGAGAGAGGTGAAACAAATCATTCTTTTTTCTCTCTTTTGCTTATGTCCAAGTGTTTGAAGTTGAGAAATAAAAAATGTGTTTTAACATTGGGCTGTGTGAAAATATCCAATGGAAGAAACTACCAAAAGCAATCAGTATCCAATTTAAGGCCAAATGCCAAAGCTTTTGAGTGAAGGGAGCCAGCCAAGCTCGTTTGTGTTATTTGTGAATGGAGCCGGCTTCTTTTGATAAGTTGGGACTGATAATAACAAGTTGGGACTGATAAAAATGCCCAAATATTAAGGAAAAATAAAGAAAAATACTTTTTTGTATTACACACTAATATCTATCCCAAATACCTTTAATAGGCATGGTGGGAGAATTAGTATCCAAAAAAAAAATCACAAGGCACTTTTATGAATTTGTATCTAAATAATCAGTGGCTAGTAGCCATATTTCTAGTAGTGACTCTACCCATACCGCACTAGAACTTGATTATATTCATCCTCAACATACTAATCTCATATTTCAAATACATCTCTCGTTGCTTTACTTGATAGATGAGTATATAGTCGGAATGTATTTTAAAAGGGAAAAAAAAAGAACAAAGAATTCAATAATGGATTGTTTGAATTTTCATGATATCTTATTATAATCTAATTTGCTTTGTAATCTCATTGAAGAACAAATCTATCAATGCAAAGTATAATAGAATCTTTGTTTGAGAGTGAATTGACCTCTTCAAGGGATTGTTGTTTGTTCTTCATCGGTTGTCTTCCCCCATTACAACTCTCATATTACCTGATCCACTAGGTGCTTGTTTTTTAAACTGAAGACTTCATCTTCATCGCCCTACATACTCAAGGTGATTTCATGCTGCTACTATTTTTCGTTTTCATTTCTAGGAATGGTTAGGTTGATTTTTCTCTGTTTTTCTTTTATTCATAGTTTTTGTGTCGAATAATTTTTGAGATATTGAAACTTGTAGATATGGAAAAAGTGAAACATATTAGGTCCGAGTACAATAATATTAAAATTAGTTCAAGGGATGTTGTAATTGGATGTAAGACCATTATGTTTCAGTTAAAAACAGATTATTCCACCGATAGAGGTGATTATGATGGATATGTTTATTTTAACGAAAAAGGCAAGCTCAAAGATGTAAAATTGATTTATGTTGCTGAATCCAAGGACTATGCCGAGCATACTTATGACTTTACTCGTAGTGTGAGAGTTTCAAATATCCTATATCCTTGGTTGTTTGGCTTTTGCTTGCATGAGTTTGGTCAGGGTGATAGGAGCCTCTTTAGTTATGAGGTTTTGATGAAGAAAGTGTTTTGGGGTCTTTGTAATGAAAAATATGAGATGTCACTTTTTAGTTGGTGTAAAAGTATAGATAATGGTGAAATCAAGGATGAGAAGGGCAATATGAAAGATAACAATCGATGCTTAAGTGAATATTGGCGATATACAATTCATGAAATCTTCGTAACCATTTTATACACTTATGCGGCAAATTTGTATCATGGTGGTTTGGATTCAAAGAGTTCTTATGTCTTTCTTAATGGAGAATTAAGTTAATCAAGATTGAAAACAATTTGGCAGATGTTGTTGTGAAAGATCGAGATTCTAAAAAAAAGTAGGATTTTAAAGATTTTAAGAAGTTGTTGACGGTTTTGCTTGAACCCAATGAATGTTGGATGAACGTGACCATTTTTTAAATTACTTTGATGATGCATCAAAACGTAGTTATTTGACTTATCTGAAGAAATTGATTGAACATCCATTTTTAATGGATGCCAACGATAGAATGGATCGGTTTAGCAAGTTTCATAATATTGAACCTGTTCTTTCCCTCGCTATGTGTAGCTATACGAGCACGAAGGGCTATTATTTTCTACATTTTAGGCGTGGGAAAGATCTATTACGAAGCCATTTTTGTTGGAGATATATGATTATGCGAAGAAGAAAAAAAAAACATATATGGATTCACCTCGTGAATTGTTGAGGTTTTTGAGAAATCTTAATGAGCATCTTAAGAAGAAAGGTTGGTCAGTGACTATTGATCACATGGATGAAGTTGTTAGATGCAAGTGGGGCGGGTTTTTGGATGCTATTCATTTGCATTTGGAGAAGTAAATTGTGGGATAAATTGGACATGGCTGTTCAACTAGCAGGCACAAGGTGTCAAGCTGGGCCATCTTAGAGCTGCATTCTTGTTTTTCTTTGGGTCAGTTTGGCATTGCTGTGCTGTGAAAATAATCACTGTCAAATTTGCTGTGAGAGAAATCAGCTGTGAGGGAAAGCAGTTTGGCGTTTGGTAAATTTTTTGTTAAAAGTGTTGTTGGTATTGATTTCCTCATAATCAGAAAATGATTGTGGCATAATCATTATACTCAGAGCATCTTCAAAACTGATTCCTGCATAATCAGAAAATGAAAGAACCTCATTAGCTGCTTTCCCTTATAGCTTTCTTTCACAGCAATTTTTAACAATAAGTGATTTTCTCACAGTTTACCAAACGGGCTGGACTTCTCAAAAAATTTTAAAAATCACTTGTCACCCCAAATAAGCAATGCCAAATGGGCACTTTGTCAACTCTTGGGCCCAACTAGCTCAAAACCCTCTAATTTTTCTAACCTTATTATTTTAATGGTATAAATTTTTGACTTTATATATGCTCCTGTCAGTTTCTCTGACTAAGCGCTTATTATACCTAAATCCTAAAGTTGAACAAGTGCCCATTTTTCATAAAGAAAAATGAACTGGCAAAAAAAGAAAAAAAATAGAATAGAATCTGTCTTCACTAGTTTGAGGATGAAAAATGAAAAATATGAAATGTAAAAAATGCAAGTTTGAAATATCTTTGTAAATCAATTAAAATTGGTGCTTACAATAGGATGAAAATTTTGAAGCTTTGAAAATTGTCCATAAATTGGGACATCAACAATAGACTACAAAAGGATAAACTTATCTTAACTGTCATACTAGTTCTTTCTCGCTTTTAATTGGGAAAAGAAAAAACGAGGAAATCCACCTTATCTATTATGTTAAAATTTAGATATGAATGTCTTAACAAAAATTGTTAGAAGATTTAGACAGCTAAGTCCAAATCAATGCACCCCTTGCTAGGGAGTCTGAAATCGCACTCATTTCCTTGTATATGTGAGCGACCTCATTCTTGTGGAGAGCTATCTTAATTCTAAAAGTATCTGCAATGAGGTTTAAATGATTTTAGTGCAATAAAAACATTAGGACATAATCTTCTCAAAAGCCTAGCTACTTCTTGCATAGCTCATCCACTGAAACATGGATTTGTAAGGAAACAAACTTCATCTCCTCACATTGGAGATCAAGGAACCATTCAATCATAGTACTGTTCATGAAGTTTTTGGCAAGATCTCACACATGAGCATAGATTATCCTATCACCTCATAGCATGATAATCTGTCTTGGTCGTATTGGTAATAAGAACACAACCTATTATCCATAGAAGCCTGTAGAACTATTGTGGAAAAAAGGGCCTATTAAGGGAAAGATTGGTCATATTTTACGAAAACACCAAGAAATATAAGTCAAAATACTTCAACACTACTTTGTATCTTATGCACGTCAATTCATGCATTTTTTTTTATATTTTTTTTTATAGTGTTTTTCGGTGAAACATGAGCCATGAGATTCTCATATTAGACATACTCATCTTCTTATGAGATAAACTATTCAGAGAGGTGCGATACATGTTGATAAGGTTCTTGATTCCACTTCATGTGTCTCACTAGTTATGAAAAAACATACGACCACAAATTTTTTTGGAGAGTTCAAAATTCAAATGGAGAAACTTGGGGAGTGTAGATTTGTAGATTGTAGATTGAGCAATTATTGATTATTTCTATGCTTTCTTATTTATCAATCTATTGATTAAATGTAACGATTATTTTTTTGTGTGTATGAGAAACCTTCTCCCCTCTAGTTAGACTATCGTTTGTATTATAATATATATCTAACGACTACTTAAGGCTTTGTTTTCAATATTAAATCTTAACCTAATTTGACTTACAAGGGTTCTAATTGGGCAGCACGATAGATTTTGGACCTTACACCCATAATAGGTCTCGTTCGTGACTAGGGAGATACATGTAAAATATTACTTACCCTTTTTTTTCTCTTCTTATCTTGCATACATATTATTATTTTAATAATATTTCATTGAAACAAATACTACATCGGTGTTGTGTGTTGTGGCTTTGTATAGGTCTCACACAGAGACAAAGATTATCCTATCACCTAAGAGCATGATAACTCGGTCTGGTCGTATTAGTAAGCGTGACAAAACCTTTTATTCATGGAAGGCTCTAGAACTGATGTGGAAAAAAGGGGTTTATTTGGAGAATAGCTCGGTTCATGTCAAGATCAATGAGAAGTAAACGACAGAAATTCCTAGGTTGATAACACAACCGCTAAACACTATGTTAGGATTAAAATATGATTTATAAATTACATGTTATAGTTTATTCGCAAGGATTTCAACTACACCTAATATTGACATGATATCAAGCTTTGGGTTTCTTGGCCTATCTCTAGGGGTTACTAGAGGAAGACACTACAAGGCATCCTCTCTTCCATGGTTGAGTGGCATGTCAAATCAGGTCAACATAGCCGACTTAATATGTGTTTAAGCCTAGTTGACCGAAAAGAAGAAAACAATATATAATTGATATGGTTCATTGATTGGTATGTTGGTCGATGTGATTCAATGCTAGAGAATAAGTCATGTTAGAAGGAGCTCTCCTGGCGCCTATAAGGCTGCATCAATGCTAGTGTTATCATGTCTGGGTTGTTAAATGTGTAGTGTCATCACCAAATGGATGCCTTAGATCGTGCTACGTATTGTCTTTTCTAACATTTAATTTTAAATATATGTGTGTGTGAAAAATATTATTAAAAAATTTGACTTTATTAAACATCCACCTAGGACTCTGTTAGTG